TGGGGGTCACCAGAGGCAGGGGGGAGGTGGAGGAAGGTGGTCCAAATGTACCAGCTTCAGTTCCAAGGTGAATAAGGACCAGGGATGTGATGCCTGCACGGGGACGACAGTGAGGGCTGCTCTGTGGTGTACAGGAAGGTGAGAGGGGAAACCCTAACAGTTCTCGTCACAAGGAGAAGTGTTTTTCTTTTCTCTTTATTGTATCTGTAGGGGATGATGGACTTTAGCTGAAGGAACTGTGATCACTTCACAGCGTATGTAAGTCAAACCATTGTGCTGTACACCTTAAACATACACGGTGATGTATGCCAATTATTTCTCAATAAAACTGGAAAAATAATCCTCTCAGTTACAATTTAAAAATAAGAGTCTTAGGTCTCTCTCTCTTTTTTTTTTAATAAATTTATTTATTTATTTTATTTTTGGCTGCATTGGATCTTCGTTGCTGCACGCGGGCTTTCTCTAGTTGCAGCGAGCAGGGGCTACTCTTCGGTGCAGTGCGCGGGCTTCTTATTGCAGTGGCTTCTCTTGTTGCGGAGCACGGGCTCTAGGCGCGCAGGCTTCAGCAGTTGTGGCACGTGGGCTTCAGTAGTTGTGGCACACAGGCTCAGTAGCTGTGGTGCACGGGCTTAGTTGCTCCCCGGCATGTGGGATCTTTCCAGACCAGGGATCGAACCCAAGTCGCCTGCATTGGCAGGCGGATTCTTAACCACTGTGCCACCAGGGAAGTCCTTAGGTCTCTTTTTATAAAAAAAATCAGTTCATGCATTTGGTTCTACAGATGCTAGTGAAAATTTGCTGAATGGGCCAAAATATAGATCAGATTTTTTCCTTCCTCAGTAAATTAAAAAACAGAGAACCACAAATTCAAATCAGCTCCTCTTTGTAGACATAAAATGTGGGTTCAGAGCTCTTCAGGGCAGTGAGAATATCCCATAAGGAAGGGCAGTGCGCGAGGCTGAAGGTGGTGATGACTTTCGAGAAGAAAATAGTGGGTGCTCTTGCCTCCCTAAATTTTCACCTTTCAAAATAGATGTTTCTGTCTGTCGACTAACGATGAGTGTTCCCAGTAGGTGGCAAGTGAGTTTTCTGATTAACGATCCAAAGGCAGATATGAGGCTGTGTCCCTTTGGTGCTCCGGCGGAGCCTGGGGCAGGCGGGGGGAGGGGGCCAGCAGGCCTCATCAGCTCCCAGGCCACCGCTTTGCGCACAGGAGGTGATGCCTGGCTTGCAGAACAGAGGCTGGTGAAGGAGAGGAGCTCGGCGCTTCTAAACAGAAAACAAGCGAAAAGATGAGTCACGGCGGTGCTGGTGCAAAGGCTGCACTCAGGGAGGGATGAAGGGGTGGCAGGCTGAATCTCTCCCTCTGATTCACGTCCCGCTGAAACCGGCCCTCTCCTCAGGAGATTACAGCCCAGACTCGCCGTCTCCACCGTGGAACGTGTGCTCGCTCACCAGCTGGACTTGAGCACGTGGTGCGGGTGACAGCGGCCCAGGGCCGGGAGTGACCAGAACCAAGGTCAGGTCGTGGCCTCCCAGCAGCAAGTATTTTTTATCCACACTCTCAACACCCACTTCCTACCGTCAAACAAAAGGTAGAAGAAAGAATACCACAGCTCAGAACCTTCACAACAGCAGCGTGTGATACCCACTAAAGCCCTGGAAACGGTCCTCGCCGCCGTCACCGCACTGCGGACCAGCGTCTCCCTGCCAGGGCCGTGTGGCAGGGCAGCCCTCCTGAAATCCGGCCTCGTGCTCAGAAGGCTGTCACCAAAGCGGATGTGTGCTTACGTTACTGGTGCAGACAGAAAGGCTGGTTTGCAGAATGAGTTTTTTAAGTGAGAGAAGTAATTTGTAAGAGGAAAAGTCACTGCTTTGAGCACGACTTTTGTTGTCAGTTGTTGTGGTTGTCAAATCTACAGAAGAGCAAAAACTTGGAAAAACCCATGTCGAGCTGAGCTCTCCTGGAGAATGCACAGCCTCCAGAAACCCACGTCGAGCTCTCCTGGAGAATGCACAGCCTCCAGAAACCCATGTCGAG